TCCAAATGTCTGGATTAGATGTTCTATAGGATATGCTGAGAGTCAAATCTTAGTTATATTTCATTAAAGAAGAACTTAATGGGAATAGCCCCTTCTAGATTGCATTCCTTTCTTCCTTGGATTTAGAAAGAGCCACATACATTGCTCTCTATCCATTAGTTGTTGCTCTTAGCTTTCAGAAAAGGTTGTGGAGCACCAGTTTTGGAATTTTTCTTCTGTTGCAATCTGAACAATGCATATCTAGAAGCCCAATATTGACTGCTCCTTCCTGAACAGAGTTTCTCAAAATGTAAGCACTGACTACTCCCTTCAGGACTTGGCACCACTTGACTTTCCACCTGTGAGTGAGAGGAAACTTGTGAGCACCCTGGACTCAGGAGCACATCATATTCTGTGAATCAAGAGAGTATGGGGATCACTTTCCCTGGGAAGTCATTGAGCAGTTCTTTTCTTCTCTACTCGTTCCATTAGAATTAAAGGATGATCTCCTTGAATTTGCCACTGAGAGTGAAATATTGGTATAGAGGTAGCCACAGGCCAGTATTTAACAGATCTGTTTCAACCCCAGGCCTAGAGATGGCCATAGACTTATACTGTACTGGGAGGGTGCCTACTATCAGGAACAATGGACAAGCAAGCACTGCTGGGTTAAAACTCTAGCACTCTAGAGGGCAACCTGATTCCCTCCAACATACTCAATTTTTACCATTAAGTATGCCCATACCTGTGTTTTAGTTTGTTTTTCCAGAATTCTCCATTAATGTGGAATTTGATTCACCTCCTCTGACTTTTGGAGGAAACCAGTAAGGCCAAAGGCAAAGAATCCTGTCTTCAAATATAGAGCATTTTTTGTCTGTCTCTCTTTTCTTCCTTACATCTCATTGGGTAGGAAGTTTCTGTTGTGGTAACTTATATTTTGGTGTATTATTGCTATTTTCTTCTCTGAGGTAAGTTAAGCTTAAATAAACTAACTCTGAAACTTGCAAAATAAAAATGTTTCCATAACATTTATTTTGCTTTTCTTTCTGTTTTTGAGGTAGGATCTGGCTATGTGGCTCAGACTGGCATTAATTTCCTATATGGCTGACACAGACCTTAAAGTCGAGAAGTTCCTGTTGCCTCAGCCTCCTGAGTGCTGCTATTACAGGCAGGTACCACCATGCCTGGCTCCCACACGATTTTAACCACTTAAGTCTAATGACTATGCACTTCACTTATCCCTGATCAGTGTTTGGATCTTGATCTTTGGAGTCAGCCTGTGGGCTCAGAAGGGGCGAGTTCTTTGGTGGTTCCATAAGCTTGACGGCTTGCTCATCTGGTTGGGCTTAATCCTCTATCTTCTATTGCAGATGATCACATTTCAGATACAACTTTGTCAGTGGATATTTTGAGAGTTGTAAAGTTCATTTGAATCTATAATGAGCAGGAAAAAAAAGCCATTTGAAAACGTTATAAATGTAGTGTTTGTCCTATCTGTCCACACTCTCTCACCACCTATATTTTGTCCCTTTCCGACTGAATTCTTTGTTTGTGACATGGTCACACTTTGTAGTCCAGGCTGAACTCTAACTCGCTATGTGCCCCAGGTTGGCCTCAGACTTGAAGTGTTTTTCCTGTCTCAGGCTCCCAAGTGCTGGGCACCACACCCAGCTTTCTGTCTGCCTCTTAGTGGAAGGGTCATAAAACTTCAATTTCTGCCTCCCTTACAAACAAACTCCCACAGTGGAGGGATGTGTGAGACTTTGCCTTAAACAAAGCCTTGGACCTCATCTATAAATCATATTTCTAACCAGTCCAATTGTATCTACAAGTAATAGCTGCAGTCCAGCTCCACTCTAGGCCTATGGGAGCACAACAGGCAGTAATTAGAAGAATCTAGAGGTGTGTGCTTGCGGAGGCTGAGGAATCCATGGAGATGGCTAGAGGTGTGTGCTTGCGGAGGCTGAGGAATCCATGGAGAT